GGGGGGGTTGTGGCCACATGCTCGGCAGGAAGTGTGTGTTGCAAGGCGCGGTGTGAGTGGGGGTGGGGGGCCGCTGGGCATTCCAAGTGGGCTTGCCATCCCCCAAACAATGTATCCACAGAGAGCCCGTCTCCGGCTGGTGTTCTCCATTTTTAAAGATGCATTTCGGAGCTGGTAGGTCTGGCAGGAGGAGAGCTGTCTGTGAGCACCGTGCTGGCAGTGTTGCTCTGGCACCGGGGTGCTGGGAAGAGCCTGCTAGCTTCAGGAGCCAGGCTGCTTGGCAGTGACATTAAAATGCCCTTTGGATGGTGCCACTGTGCCACACTCTGAGCTGAGGCGCTGGCCCTTTGGAGTGGCAAGTCCAGGAGATGGGTGGGCAGCCAGCACCTTCGCCCTAAGGCCCTGAGCCCCAGCTGCCCCATCCCTCCCTCCCTCTCGGCTTCCCTTCCTCTCAGAACAAAAGACAAAACAAAAGAGAGAAGAGAGTGTTAAAGGTGGGTCACAGGAGAGAAAGCTCTGGAACGGCTCCCCTGGTTTTGCCTGAAGCCCTTGCCTGCTCCCTGGCTCTGCCCGCAAGTGTAGCCTCAACCCCAGCACTGGAGGGCTTTGTGGCCCCTCTTACCCTCAGAGGCCCCAGACAACTGGCCGGGTCCCCTGGAGAGGGTCAAGCTGGTGCTGGAGAGAAGTCTCCTGGAGAGAAGTCTCCCTGCAGCGGACAAAGCCTGGCCGAGGGGTGGGCTGAACGCCGTGGGCGGACAGGTGCACGTGTGCACATGTGCACGTGCGCTCACACACACTCACACCCACACACCCACGGACAGGAGCACACACAGGCATGTGCCTTATTCAGACATCGCAGGGATGAGCTGGCTGGCTCTGGGTGGCTCTGGGAGTGGCTGCCCTGAGCCCCCCCAGCCTTGCGGCCTTCTCACTTCCAGGTCCTCGAAGCCCTCTTCTCAGACCTCAGCATGTTGTCCTCCATCGGTTTCCCCTCCTTGCGTCTTTGTACAGATCCCCTGTTCTTGGGGAAAACTTTTGGTTTCAACTTCAGTTGAAAGCTTTGTCTCGGCGGTTCGAGTGTTTGCCAGCCCTCTGTACCTCAGCCAGGCCCCCCCCACACCTGCAGCCTCACCCCGCATCCCACCGTCCCTTCAGGACCCCGGACAGCTCCCTGGCCCGCAGCCCTCCCCTTGGCCAGGATGAGAAATGCTGTTTTCCTTGCAAGGTTCCTCTTTCTGAATATGACCTGTGGGGTCTCTCAGGGGACTGTCCCTCAGCGCAGCCAGCCAGGAGGCACCACCCACCCTCGAGGATGGCCCCAGCTCCCTGGGCCTGCCCCTGAGGTTCTGCCTTGGGAATCTTCCATCATAGGCCCATTATTCTTGATTGTGGTTGGATTTTAGAGCAAGGGCTGGCTGAAACTGCTGCAGGCATTTCAAGTCCAAGAAGGGATCAGAGAGTAGCTGCCTCGGCCACCAGCTCCAGAGATCCCGGCTGCACTGTTCCCACCCAGGGGGACCGTGTCAGGGTTGGGCCAGGTTCCTCTCACCTTTAACAGTGACCTCTAGGGCCTAGGAGTGGGTGTGGGTGCAGGGCTGGGATGCTTTGAATCAGAGATTTACGTGGGGACATCCATGCCCAAGAATCTTGCTTTCTTGATCCCAAAGTGGTTCGACCCTAGGATGCCCCAGCACAGGGTATCTCGAGCAACACTCCTTACCTTTGTAAATGGGCACAATACCCCTGGGCTTCAGGAGACAGAGAGCAGAGCACTGGCAGCTGAGCTGTGTGGCGTCTGCCTCCCCTCCACCCTTTTCCTCTCCCACTTTAGGTAAACAGCTCCCCCAGCCACACCTCACTTTTAGGGCCCTTCCAAGGGGTACAAGGATCAGGGCTGCTGTGTTTATGGACTGGCCCTTGTGGAAACGAGAGCAAGTCAGAAACGTATGGATCTTACCTGCACGTTATAAATGCTGCTGGAAGGATTCAGGCAGACGGGCGGGGGAGCAGAGCACATGGCTGGCCATCTGTTCTCCCGACAGTTCACTTACAATGAGCCACTCAATCAAATGCCAGCTATTGATCGATGGCCTACTACACGCCAGGCTTGTGGGCCCAGTTGAACTTTGACCTCAGACAGAAAGACGGTTGACTTGGTCTTGTTCTGTGATTTTCAGTAAAAGGGCTGGCATCTCACGCTCCTTGAGAAGCATTGTACGGAGTTTCCCAGCCAGGATGGGGAGGAGTTGATCTCTCTGTCCCAGGGGGTGGTGGCACTGCGGCAGTGCCCTAAGCTCCCAGCCCACCTCAGCTGCCATTCAGATAGAAGCATGTCCCCTCTCTGTGGTAGCCTGAAAGGGCTCAGAAACTCTGAAATAACGACCTTTAGCCCAGCTGCCCTTAATGCCATCCCAGTCCCACCAGGCACTATCCAGTGACCTTGAGAAAGGCTCTTGACCTCTCAGCCTGGACTTCCACCGTGTGGAAGCAGGAGAGTTACACTAGATGATTCTAGAGGAAGTCTCCATACTGCGAGCCCCAGCCCTGTTCTTTCAGCCACTCTCGGTCCCTCCTTCCACACACAGTTCTCGGATGCCAGCTGGTTGGGTTTAACATGGTCAAACCTGGGCTTACGATGCTGAGCGAGTCCAAGCCTCGCCATCTGGCATCTGGGCAACGCAGTTTGTGGGGAGACTCAAGGACCTGCCATAATTACTTGTTTAAGAGGCACGAGAGAGTCTGAACCAAGTGGTGTGAGTGGAGGGAGGAGGGAGTTCTCCCCGGGAGCTGGAGAAGCCTCAGTGCAGGCGATGTTTGCACCCAGGGCCAGCAGTGAGCAGGGGCAGGGAGACGGGCGAGGCCAGGCGGGCGGCATGAGCACGGGCTCAGTAAAGTGTGTTGAGGAATTCGATGTACGAGTGAAGCAGAGCCCTTCTCGTTAGCCAGGCTAACCCCAGGCCGGGCACGGCCCTTCTTAACGACAGAATGTCCCCGACATCCTGGCGGGGTCCCAACTGTAAATGAACACAGAGCCTCCTGAGTGCCAGCTGTGGTTGTCGTGTGGCCTCAGGCTTTACGGGATGACCGCTGTGTGCTCAGACCCCGAGTTTGAATCGCTACTTGGGGGTCTAGGACCCTGAGTAGAGAGGTGACCCAACCCCAGCCTCCCCTTGGGGCAGATAGGGCAGGGGCCACAGAGGAGCCAGCACAGAGCTACCCCTCAGAATCCCTCTGTGCCCAGCATCTTCACACTCAGTTCCTTCTGCAGTAAAAGACTCTGACCCATACCCCTGAGCAAATGTGACAAGAATAAAACAGCACATTTTGTCACCTGCTGGATTCTGAACTTGGGCTGGAGGAACCACTGACTTCCTGCCCACCTGCCCCAGCTTCTGGGCCCCCACCTGCCCCAGACAGGAGTGGGTGTCTGGGGTTCGGGGGCCACGGGGCTCTCTTCCTGAACTAGACAGTTCAGGCCACATGGAACTTACTCCGTGTTTGCACTGCCACTGCCCGGGGGCTGGCCCTGAGCACACGAACGGCGTCCATGGGAGGGGTGCGCACCCCACTTAGGCCATAAATCCTCAACCCCAGGCAGCTGCTTTGTCTCCGGCAGCAATTTGCTTCTAGTCCCACTGACTTCAGCCTTCCCTAGTAAAAAGAAAGGTAATTTTCTGCTTTGGGTGGTATTTATTACTAAAGTTATCAGGCCCTGTAATCAGTATTAACACCACCGTGTAAAGTAATACGAAACTAATTACCAGCTAAACTGAATTAGATACATGGCCGCCAAGAGCCGAGGGATGAGAAGGAGCCAATTTTCGGCCCTAAAAGATGCTCTATGCATGCTCTTCACACTCTGAAACCAGCAGCCACGAGGCCTCCCATGTGGGAGCGGCCAGGGAGGGGAGACGGGAAGGGAGACGCCTGCCTCTTTGTTTTAGCTCATTACACCAGGGGCAGAACCAGTAACAAGGGTTCACATGTTTTGTGTTACCACGCGTCAAACTCCCGGCCCAGCGCTTATCTGGGTCAAGTCATGACAGTCCCCACAACCCTGTTGTTGCCCTCATCCCCAAAATGAGGAAACTGAGACCTGGGGAGGCAGAGTAAGCTGTCCAGTGGCCCAGAAGTAGGTGACAGACCCCAGGTGCAGTTCCAGCTCTGTCTGACACCCGTGACACCCGAGTTCATGTTCTTGTTAAGAAAGAGAGAAAAATGAAAAGCGGTGAAACGGTTCCTATGTCTGAGAACCAGTGAAAAGGAGGCGCCTGGTGCCGTCCGCTGGAGCCCGACGGCCTCTGCAGGGCTGCGCCGAGCGCCCGATGAGCTGTGTCTCTCTAGCTGTGTGGCCAC